TAATGGTGATTAAACCATGAAACTTTTTTTTTAGCGTAATTATAACCTAAATTAGCTGAAAATAACCCTAGAACCTAGAGTAAACTCTCCTTTTAATAATGTTATGTTTGATTAATTACATGCTTAGTTATGAGATATATAATGCTATATAGGTGCAGCCTACCTGGTCACGCGTGGGAGGCAGGCACGTCGTATCCCAGCAGTATCTAATCGACCCGCTAGCTTTCGCCGGGCATCCCTGCATCTGCCTCTTCCTCCTCCTCTTTCCCTCTCTCCCCGCATTCAAGCCTCCGTCTCCACCTGCCGGCTTCCCAAAGCTAAAGTCTTTCGGCCAGTGTCCCCTTCCGCCGCTAGGTGTCGTTGTTTCGACGTAGTTGGTGGCGCCGCGATCGGTGACGTCATCGAATCCGGGGAAGTGTTTTGGAGGCGGTATTCCGCCGCGGCCTCCCTTGCCCGGAGATGGCTTCTTCATGCCCAGCCGATTGTTGGTGTACTCGTCGTCGTCCTGTGAGCATGCGCATTGACATTGTTATGACACGATGAGAAGATGAAATAAAATACGTGTTTTGAGTCAAACCAGTCGCTGGATCAGTATGATGATTAGTTAGTGAGACCACCTCCATAGAACGGACAGGTGTCTGTAAAAGACACTATTGGAGATTACTTCGGTGACGCGTACACAGTGAGACCACCCCTTATATAACGGACACCTGTATATAACTGACACCTGTCTATAAAGGACACTTCTTGTGCGTCCCCCTTGAATGGTAGTTACACAGTAAGATCACCTCTATAGAACGGACATCTATCGATAAAAGACGCTGTTGTGGGTTACCCTGACTGACCCTTACACGCAGGTTGGAATGTACACGTACGTGTAAGCGCAAATACAAGTTTAAATTGTAAGCGTACGTCAAAAATAAGCATAAAAAGACGCCTAAATGCACACATATGTAAAATACACGTCTTCATTATAATAACTCATTATAAATTATTCATAATAATAATTCATCATAAATACTCGCTCTCAACTGACAAACCTTGCTCACTCAACGTTAGAGAAGCGATTCACAAGTAGATAAATGTCTGATACGTCTTCTAGAAGGGTTAAACCCCAATTATTTCTACAATATACAGAAATACAACGGTGAATTAAATAAGTACCAGGTCAGCATCGACGTTAATACTAAGGTAGTACGTCTCCTCCTTCTTCTTGTAGCGTTGGTTGTGCTTGCCGATCTTTATGAGATTCTTCTGATAGTTTTCGGCTCTCTTTGCAGCTCCCTTTCCTCTTTGTATCTTTCCTGTGGGAGAATAGGGTGAGAATAAAATCCTCGTCACCCCAACCATCCTCCTCCTCCTTCTCCTCATCCTTCTCCTTTCTCCCCTTCCTCCTCTTCCTTCTTCCCTCCTCGTTCTTCTCCTTCTCCTCATTCTCCTTCCTTCTCCTCCTCCTCCTTCTCCTCCTCCTCCTCCTTCTCCTTCCTCCCCTTCTTCTTCCTCCTCCTCCTCCTCCTTCTCCTCCTCCTCCCCCTTCTCCTTCCTCCCCTTCTTCTTCCTCCTCCTCCT